AAACGTACGTTATAACCTCCTGCTCCCGTACTCGTTGTCAACGTCCAACTGCAGAATATATCTTTCGTTGGTGCAGTGAAATTGGTTGAATTTGGACCGTAATATCCAGGAGAATAGAAAGGATTCAGTCCCGATGAACTCGTCGTTATTTCTATGCCAGAATCAGAGCAGGCTCCTTAACACATGGATGATTAGTCTCCTGTTCACCACCGTGCTGGTTGAGAACTTTGGCACTATACACCTTTCACTTTTCCACTCTTCTAAACTCAGGCCAAATTTTGGTCAAGTCTTACTCCTGGGGCAGAATTGGACAATAAACTCTGTCTTCCGGGTTAATTCGACCACCTAAACACGAAAAGCGCCTCCGTCAGAGCGAAAGTGCTCGGCGCACAACGAGCGGCCGCTCTACAGGAAGTTTTATCGCCGGCGTGAAAACGTCAGGCTTGTAGCGTACGTGCCTGACGTTTTCACGCCGAGCTAGAGTAATTCGTCTTGTGGGGTTCAACCACCTCTGGGGACAAACTCCAATACATTCAGTGACGCAGTTCAGTAACGGGGGAGGGGCATTTTGCACTTTCGCTGCTTCTCTAGTTCCGGTTTACAAGTCTCACTCTGGTGAAACCTGTGAGCCCTTGGGAATACGGGGCAAGCTCGTCCAGCCGCCATGGTAGAACCTGTCAACTCTTGTAATTTCACGAAATGGCTATCCAGATGGATCGACACGTCGACGGGAAGTAGTGAAAGTGCAAAATGCCCCCCGTCGCCGAAACTGTCCCCATTTGGTGTTTTGAAGTATTGGGTCGGCCCATAAATAATGGCGTTATTCCCACTCGAAATATCGCGCTGAAGAAGAGTTTTGCCATCGAGCTTTACACCGTTTTGCAGAGAATTTCTTGCCCTACACGATAGTCTTCTTAGTTTTCTTCAAGTTTCTCTTTCCACTAATATTTAAGTGCTCAAACTGGAGTGTCAGGTCGACGAAATTGAGCATTTTCGACAGCCTCTCTTTTATAAATAATAAGATTTTAATAAAATTTTTTATATAGTATTTTGATTGTTCAAATTCTTTAATATACTTTTCTATTTAGAGGGGTGACTCAAGGACCTCTAATTAAACTCTAATATTAATTGAAAAGCTAAAACCGCACGGGCCCAGTTGCTAAGTATATGGCTGAAAGGCTATGTCTCTTAGGAATGCTATAATACTTTAAGTGATTCGAAGATTTCAGTTTCGACCTCACAGACAAGCATCGAACCTAATGCCCTATTCTGTCCAACTGAGAGCTTACGGAATTACCTTATTAACTGAGAATCATGCCAAAGATTGAGGGATCGTTAGAGGTCATAGAATGCTTCCTTATCATTATCAACCACCACCCTCAGTTGATGTTAGACGTTCGAAAATAAGTGGGTAGGTTCTGCAGGCAATCCCTCCGCCCCCACGCGATGGTCCTTTACAGGGTCCGAATTGCCCCCTCTTGATCGCTTGAACCAACTTCAAACTGTCCTAAGACGCATAATGGTCATGTATACCACAAGGTTTGAGCTTCTTCTGTACATTGAAAGCCGAGATAAAATTCAAAAAGTAGTTGTTGAAAACTCACTTTCGAGTCGACCCA